GGGTCCGGCAGTCCGCGGGTCGGGCGTCGTTCCGCCCCCGGCACGGCCGCACTCACAGACCCGCCGCCGCCGACCCGCCAGACGCAGGTACACAGGCGCGGCCTCCAAGTGACCCCCCCATCCTGGCGCTCTCGGCACCTCCCGACCCGCCACTCCCCGCCTGCCCCCGATTTTCTCCCTTCTCCTCGTTCGCTCCTGGCTCCTGCGCCTGGCGCTTCGGGGCCACTCCTGCACTTCCTCTTGTCCTCTCTCTGCCTCACCGTCCCCTACTCTGCGGCCTGACCGTCTGCTCTGCCTCGTTCATTCAAGAGAGTCCCGCGTCCCCTCTGGCCACGGCCCCTGCATGTTTCCTGCGCAGCCTGCGGGGAGCCCCTAATCTTTGATTCCAAATGACCGGCACCTCATAAATTCGCTGGACTGTGTTTCCTCCTACCTCATCTACTGAATGGGGAGCAGCTGGGGCCGTTTTAACGCTTTCACGGCCAGACCCCTCCTCCTATCCAGCAGACAGGGCGCTCAGAGAGGCCAGTGACTTGCCCAAGGCCACACAGCAGGTCAGCGCCCTGTCTGCATCCAGCGCCTGCCCTCTGGGTCACTACTCAGGGCACAGAGGAGCTTAGCTCGGACAGCCTCTTGCTGAACAACTGTCCTTTCTTTTTCCTGTGTGTGTGGCTTGTCTCCTTCAGCCCCTTCTCTCCATCCTCAGTGAGTCCCCAGTGCATTGAGGGCATTTGAAGGCATGTCCATGGGCAGGAGACACACAGGGAGGCAGCTCTGGCCTGGCCATTCTTCTGTAGGGTTCCACGAGCACACCCGCAGACAAGATTCTGGCATCTTGGTGGAATGTCAGAGCCAGTCCACCCAAATGGCTCCATTTCACAGATGGGGTCACTGAGGCCTCGGGATTGTGGGTTCTTAGCTCAGGCAGCCCAGCAAGTCTAGGACAGAGGCGGGATGGGTGTCCAGGGCTTCCAGCATGGATCCCCTCTCTCTCTGCCTACAAAGCCCTCTTGTTCTGACCCCTTTGATCTCAGTCTTCCCCATCACCCCACCCCTCACACCTTTGATCCCAGAGATCTCAACTCCTTGCAGTTTTTTTATTTTTTATTTTTTAAAGATTTTTTTATTTATTCTTTCGAGACACAGAGATACAGAGAGAGAGAGAGCATGAGGAGGGGTAGAAGCAGAGGGAGGGGGAGATGCAGGGCTCAATCCCAGGACCCTGGGATCATGACCTGAGCCGAAGGCAGACGCTTAACCATCTGAGCCACCCAGGCACCCCTCAACTCCTTGCAGTTTTTGACAGACACCTCCAGGCCCTCCACACTTCTGAGCCTTTCCTATGTGGCCTCTTTATGGAATGTCAGCCTACATCTCATCCCCCTTCTTCTCTGACTCGTTTCAGGACCCTGCCCTGGATATGCCCCTCATCCAGGAAGCCTTCCTGGATTCTCAGACCAGGTTCAGTGCCTCCTCTGGGCTCCCACAATCTCTTTATCACAGTTTGGCACTAGGTGGTAACTATTGATGTCTCTGTCCCTCTCTCTACATTGTCAACCTTTGAGACCAGAGATGAGGTCATATCTGGGTCCCTGGAGCACTAGCCCACGCTGGACACAGAGCAGGAGCTCAGCATGTTTGTAGGGTGAACGAATGAATGCGTTCTCTGCATGCAGGAGTCTCCTGGTTTATATATGGAATTCACGTGCTTGGAGAAATGAGGTGACCCTAGAAGATCAAACATTAGGAAGTTGGAAAGTCAGCCCCTATCCATCCATCCCCAGTCCTGAAGTCTCCAGAGTCCAGAGCAGGACAGTCCCCAAGTGAACAGGGCTGGGAAGAGCAATGTGCACGGGGAGGGGGGGGGGGCTTGCCGAGGGCGTGACTACTGGACAGACACACAGCTCTGCAGGCTGTAGCCTCTCAGCCCTTCTCTTCCCACTCCTTCTGCTCCAGCTTCCCAGCCTCCTCTGTTTCTCAGACTCTGCCGTGTGCCTTCAGCAGGGCTTTTTGCTGTTCCTGCCGTCTGGAAAATCCTTCCTGAGGTATCTTCAGGGCCTGTCTCGGCTCAAGATTACTTCCTCAAAGAGGCCCCCTCTGACCACTCCAGATAAAGCAGAACACCCATTTCCTTTATCCCCTTACCTTGCTTTATTCTCCACAGTACCAAGTACATAGTCCTGTTAGTGTTTGCAATTTGCTTGTTTCTAAGTTCCATGAGGGCTGGAATATTCTATTTTATCTGTGTGCCTAACACACAAAGTGTTTAATAAATATCTGTGGAATGAATAAAAGAATGGATGAATGAGGGCTCACTCACCCGCTGATTTACTGTAGGACCTCAGGCACCTCCTGCTGTCTTGGGCTCAGTTTTCCCATCTGTTCAGTGGCACAGATGGGATTTTGTGTCTTCTGAGAGTCTTACAGTCCTTTCAGAATCCGCTATTTCTAGGATTCTGTGAGCCAGAACTAAGACCTCTACCCGGCTCTGAGATGCACAGAGGGTCTTGGGGTCTCTGTAGCTATAGGGGGCTGTCTGGGAATCCTGCCTGCCTGCAATCTGGTCAACCTCCCCCAAGACAAGCATCCAGAGAGGACATCGAGGCCAGTGGTGCTGATGGCACACCAGGGGCATCAGTTAAGGAACCACAGGACACTGTCACAGATAGATGAAGACTGGTATAATGGCTATAACACATTACAGTCCTATTGGGTATTCCAGATCAGCAAATCCTTCCCCTCCATTGACAGCCGGGTCTCAGGTTCCTTTCAGCTTGTGCTCTGCTGTCTCTGTACATGGCTTAAAGCTTGCTGTGGATGGGGCAAGGCATGGAAGATCACCTATGGGAGGTACAGATGTCCTCCCACCTCCCACTGGCCAGAAGTCAGTCCCATAGCCACACCTACCTGCAAGGGTAGCTGGGAAATGTAGTCTAGCCATGTACTCAGGAAGAAAACCAAAAGAGTTTGGTGAACATCAGGCCATTCTATCACACTGGACCCCTCTCATTCTTGCCTTAATGATGCAGTAGTTCTTGCCTGTGTTGGTTCTGACCCCTACAAGTTCTTTTTCCTAAGTAGCCGGAGGACCTGGATTTTCTTCCAGGTAAAGTCCAAAATTTTTCTCGGGACTGCAAGGGCTACAGGATGGCCCCTACTAGAGTGACCAGTTGTCCCACTTTGCCAGGGATTGAAGAGTTTCCTGGGATGCAATTTTATCTCATGTACAGTTTTGTGTAACCACCACTACATCAAGATACTTAACTGCAACAACACAAAACTCCCTCATTACCCCTTTATGATTGCACACACCCCCTCCCCTATACCTTAACCCCTAATGACCACTAATCTGTTCCCCATTCCTACAACTGTGCCGTTACACAGCTATTATATAATGGAATTATGTCTTATGTGTCCTTTTGAAATAGGCTTTCTTTATTCAGCATAATTTCTTGAGATTTGTCCAAGTTGTTGCATGATTAACAGTTGCATTTTAGGGGCACCTGGGTGGCTCAGTTAAGTTTCTGCCTTCGGCTCAGGTCATGATTCCAGGGTCCTGGGATCAAGCCGTACATTGGGCTCTGGGCCCCGTGCTCAGTGCAGAGCCTGCTTCTCCTTTTGCCTGCCATTCCCCCTGCTTGTGTTCTCTCTCTGTCAAATAAATAAATAAATAAATAAATAAAATCTTTGAAAGAAAAACAGTTGCATTTTACTGCTGAGTAGTATTCCATGGTATGAATGTACTAGAGTTTTTTTAGCCATTCATTCATTGAAAGACATTTAGATAATTTCTAGGTTTTGGTTATTAAACACAAAACTACTATGGATATTTGTGTACAAGTTTCTGTATATCCTCTTTAGCAAAATGTCTGTGCATGTCTTTTGCACTTTTTGATTGGAATTTTTTAGTTTTACTGTTGCATTTTTTTTTAAAGATTTTATTTATTCATTTGAGAGAGAGAGCACGAGAGGGGGGAGGGTCAGAGGGAGAAGCAGACTCCCTGCTGAGCAGGAAGCCCGATGCGGGACTCGATCCTGGGACCCCAGGATCATGACCTGAGCCGAAGGCAGTCGCTTAACCAACTGAGCCACCCAGGCGCCCTTACTGTTGCATTTTAAGAGTTCTTTATTCCATTTGTTGGATATGTCCTTTGTTGGATATGTGATTTGCTAGTATTCTCTCCTAGTCTGTAATTTGTCCCTTCATCTTCTTTCCAGCATCTTTCACAGAATGAAGGTATTTAATTTTGATAAGGTTCACTTTATCAATTTTTCCTTTTATGGATCATGCTTTTGGTGTCAAATCTAAGAATATTTGCCTGGTCTCAAGTCTCAAAGGTTTTCTTCTATTTTTTTTCTAGAAGTTATATCATTTTACATTTAAGTTCATGATCCATTTTGAATTAATTTTTGCATAAAGAATGAAGTTTATATCAAGGTTCATTTTTTGCCTGTGGATGTTCAAATGCTCCATCCGGTATGATTTATTGAATAGGCTGTCCTACCTTAACTGAATTGCTTTTGTTCCTTTGTCAAAAATTAATTGGTCATATTTGTGTGAATCTATTTCTGGGTTACCTATTCAGTTCTGCAGACTGTGTTGTTCTGTCTGCCAATACCTCACTGTCCTGATTACTGAAATCTTGAAGTTGGGTAGTCTGATCTCATCCACCTTATTCTTTCTCAAAATTGTTTTAGCCATTCTAGTTCTTTTGCCTTTCAATATAAATTTTATAATAATTTTGTCTATACCTA